GTGTCATAGGATAAGGTTAGGCAACCACTACCATCATTGTTGTCGTTGGTGTGTTGCACGTAAGGATTGAGTTTAAGACAAAGATATCTCAACTAATGGATAGTGTTTTGGATGTATAAAGTATATATTATATGTATTTATATAAATTTTTACATATATATATATATATAAATTATTTTATAAAATTATGTAAGTATTAATAAATATATATAAGTTGTGATTATTTAAATTTTTATAAATTAATTTACTTATATTTATAAAAATTTACACAATTTTATGAAATAATTTACGTATATTTATAAAAATTTACACAAATATATAATATGTACTTACACACTTAAAAATTATCCTCAACTAATATTTATGTATTAGACAACAAATGTTGATTTAATTCACCCAAAAAAAAAAAAAAAAACACAAATGTTGATGCGGGCGGCCCTTCCATTGTTTAGAAGGCACCAAGAGCCATGAAATGGAAGACATGATGATTACCTTTTGGATTTAGGCTAACTAAATAGATTTGGTTGTGGTTTGATAATAAACTATTTTTAGTTGGTTTTTAAAATTTTTTTGATTATTTTAATTTAGGATTAAAAATTGTTTAGTTTGATTTTTGATTTTTTTTTATTTTTTTGACTTTTGTGGGAGAAAATTGAAATAATTACAATTTAAATGTGACATCTTATCTTATTAGCTTTCTATTTTATATTTTTGTGACTAATTTAGCCAAAAAGCTCGTTGCCCAATATATTGATTTCTCTTGAGATTTAAAAAATATACAACAAATTTGACGTAATTGTATTGAATTCTTTAAAATTTTAATTTACATAATAATCATCTTTTCATTAGTAGTTCGTTAGGTGAATGAAAAATGATGTTATTATTTTTTTTTATCCTATGTCTTCTCATCAATTACATTAGTTTTAATCCATTTAACCTTATTATAAAAAGAAAAGTCAGTATAATTATGCCAAAATAATAAAACTTATTATTTTTTTTCCCAATATCTCAATCCTTTTAATCCATTTAACCTTACAATAAAAAGAAAGTCAACGTAATTATGCCAAAATTATGAAACCTCAGCTTGCTTGGTTCCATTTTTCTAAAAACACTTTTCAAAAAATTTTACTTTCTTATTTTTCGTATTTTTTTTTTGTTTTTACTGAATTTTTTAATACTTTAAGCAATTTTTTTACTTTTTTGACACACCTAACATAAATACACTTAAAAAGTAAAAAAATTGTAAAAAAAATATTAAAAATTTACTAAATACCAAAATATAAAAAAAATACAAGAATTCAATACAATTTTTATATATTTATGTATTTATTAGTTTTTTAAAATATTTTTTACAAATTTTTTACTTTTTAGATATATTAGTAGGTAATTAAAAAATTAAAAAATTTAAAATTTTAAAAATATTCACTAAAAACAAAAAAAAATACGAAAATCAAAAAATTCAATTTTCAAAAAATTTAATTCAAAAAACTCAAACCAAACACACTGTTTCACTATTTTTCCCCCCCAAATCTCGATCCTTGTTTTTTTAAACAATCTATCGAGAATATTTACAAATATCAACATAATTATATTAAAATGAAAATTCAACCACATAAGGAAATCTGACAAGACAAGTCAGAAATCCAACGCTAGCCCACCACTACAAGGAAAAAGGCAAAATAAAGAAGGGAAAATTACTTTAATGGTGTTTATATATTTTACTTTTTATGTTATTTTAGTTTTTATATGTTTTACTTGACTTAATCTTAACATTTAATTTTAAATTTTATTTCAATTTAATCTAATTAGTAATATTGTTAGTCTTTTTTTTTTTAAAAAAAAGTATCACTAAATTGATTGGGTTAACTTTTTTGGGTAGGTACATTTTTGGTTAACTAATTGAGTTAAGTAAGTTTATAATTTTATTCTTAAAAATATAATCAATGACACTTATGTGTATATTTTTATAAAAAAATACTAAAAATTATAATAAATTAGATCAAATTGAAACAAAATTATAAATTCATATTTAAAATCGAGTTAATTGAAAGTACAAAAACTAAAATGATACAAAAATAAAATACAAAAATTACCATCATAATTTTCCCAATAAACAATTAAAAAACAAAAATTTAAAAAAAAAAAAAAAAAAAAGAGTACATAATAGTAAAAAAACAAACTAAACAAAAAGCAACTCCATCATAGTAAATGTTTGTTTATATTTTAGTTTTTATTTTGGCTATACATTGTTTTGAATATACTCCTCAACTCTCTATACTATTTAAATATTATTTCTTTTTAAATATGTAAGGTATCTTGAGCTACTTGTACGCACCAGACTAAGTCTCTACAGTTTGAACAATCCTCCCGTTTAAATGTTATGTTTATTCATAAATTTAAAAATATTTTTTTATAAACTCAATGCAACAACTTCAAAATATCAAAAAAAAAAAAAAAAAAATTTTAATGTTTAACTTGCATTACGCCAAAATAGGGCATTAACGGCGGTTTTTTTAACGGCGGTTTTCGTTACCGCCGTTAAAGATACTATTAACGACGATAACGAAACCGCCGTTAATACCGCCGTTAATGTATATTTAACGGCGGTTTCGTTACCGCCATTAAAAAAACTGCCGCTAAAGCCCTCTCATTACGCCGTTAATGACGGCGGTCTTTGCCGGCAGAGCTCTGGCGGAACTCCGGCGAGTGGTGACCACGCCCAGCCAGAGGTTGAATATGACCATCTAAAATAAAGCAAAAGAAATGTTTAAATATTTATTTAAGGAATATATTTCATGTAGAGTCATTGTGGTGGAGTGGTTGGCATGCGTGGATTAGAGGTCAAGGGTTCGAGACCTAGGGGGTGTAAAAAGAGAGAATTACTTTTTTTAAAATTTGAACCTATTTACGGCGGTAAAGAACCGCCGTTTTTGATCCTATATTACTATCGTTTTTGGTCGACTTTTAACAACGGTAATTTACCCTTTTACGACAGTTGTACCTTTTCCGACACGAGTATAAACGGCGGTCCTAAATTACCGCCGTTAAAGGCTTTAATAGCGGTTTTACATTCTTTAATGGCGGTAAAAAACCGTCGCTAAAGCCCAATTTTGGCGTAGTGTTGTAGCTAGTTTAATAGGGTTGAAATTTGATAATTTATTAACTGTTTTAGCTAAAAAATAAAACGGCAATGCTGGGGACCCCCAGTGGGGGGTGACCCCAGCACCCCCCTCCACGTGGGGGGCTGCCAGTGGCTGGAAAAAAAAAATTTGGGCCAATTAGAAGGGATCCCCAGCACCCCCACTGGCATAAGGATCCTTTAGAGTTAATCCTCTAGAGTGATCTCCTAAAGTGCCTAATCCGACGGCTGAGAATAAAACTCACCAAAACGACGTCGTTTTGGTGAGTATTTAAAAAAAAAAAAAAAAAAATCAGATTCAGGGATTTCAAAATTCCCCCCATATGAAGAACTATACAGATGGCGGGAAGAAGCAAAATGAGAGAGCGAAGAAGAGTTAGAGAGGCCGATACCTGCATCCCGTCGCCCCGCTGTCATCGCCGTCGTGCCGTCGCCACTGTCCTGCCGCCGCCGTGGCCGTTGCCCCTGCTCCAACCGGTTGAAACGTATATAGGTATAGTTCTTACATACAATGTTTAAATATATGTTTTAAGTTCGATTTTGTTTTTTTTGGTCTCTTCTAAATCAATCCCAGATGAATTTCAATGAGCTGGTCATGAACCAAACAAAAGCAGGCTATTTTTTTACACAACTTATGGTTCTTACTTATTTTTTTTCAAAACCAAACAAAAGCAGTTTATTGACTTGAGTTTTAGAATTCATAAAATTAACAATTTCAAAAATCCCTAATTTCATTCTGAGTTACTTTTTTTCATATTGATCTTTAGTTCTAATTTGGGCATTTGACGGGCTTTGTTTACATACACCCGCTAGATTAGTTCATCATTTTTGTCTTGCAAACATTGCGTGAAAATTGGAAGATTAAAATCAAGATTGTAGTCGCGTTCTAGTCATGTGCGAAATTTCTGTACAATATCATAACTGGACCCTAATCCGAAAATGCATCATATGGTCATAAAGCCTTTCCTATTAGGAGCAAGAATGAGAGTGTTTATTAGATAGCCCTACGGTTGAGAACATAAATTTTTTTTGTCTCATCTGTGTTGTGCTGAATATTGCTCAATCCCTGTGATAATAGATATATATATATACACATTATACATTATATATATATAGAGAGAGAGACAATAGTTTAGATATGTATATAGATTTAGAACAATCCTTGGAGAATTTGATTATTTAGAACAAATATTCATTGTGATTATATATATATATATATATATATATAGATTTATAGATAGTTTAGGTATTTCCTAGAAAAATAATCCTTTTTTTTTTCTTCTGAATTTAACAATGAATACCTGCTGTATTGAACACCTTAAAACCACACTGTGATACATAACAAAGACTATAATTTAGTTTGTATTATTCAGTTTGTTATTCGTTGATTATCTTATTCAGTTTGTATTATTTTGCAAACATAATTTACAGTTTTTATGCTAATATTGAGCACTTTTTTATTTTTTAAGTGACTTGGCACATTGATATGGAACCTAACAATCATGAGGATGACGAGGGTGAGTGTGATTAGAAGCCTAGAGTTCGCATGACATTTGATATAGAACAAGAAGCATATGATTTCTATAATACTTATGGAGGAAGGTTGGGCTTTAGTATTAGAAGGGGTTATGTAAACAAGAGCAAAGAGGGGCAAATCACTTCAAGGCAATTTGTTTGTAATAAGGAGGGATTTCGGGTTGTCGACAAGCGAGATCCATTAACAAAAAATCCTAGGCAGGAAGTGAGGACTGGTTGTCAAGCCCGAGTTGTCATTAAGTGGGATAGGAATATTTAGAAATTTTTTGTTAGTGATTTTGTTGAACAACATAATCATATCTTTGTACCAGCAGAATGTACGCATATGTTACCATCCCAAAGGAAGATATCTGAATCACAGGCAACCGAAATAGATTTAGCCGAAAAATCTGGAATCCGTCTTAATGCTGCATTTGAGCTCATGGGTAATGAAGTTGGTAGAAGGGAGTCGCTTGGGTTCACAAAATTGGACCAAAAAAATTATTTGAGAACGAAGTGGCAAAATAGTTTAGCATATGGGGAGGCAGGTAGCATTTTGCAATATTTTCGTGACAAATCATTGGAGAATCCATCTTTTTTTACTCGGTCCAATTAGATAACGAGGAGCAGATTACAAACATATTTTGGGCCGATGCTCAGATGATCATGGATTATGGGCAATTTGGTGATGTTGTGACTTTCGACACTACTTACAAGTTAAATAGTGCACATAGACCATTTGCGTCTTTTGTTGGATTTAACCATCATAGGGAAACTGTGATATTTGGTGCAACTTTGATGTATGATGAGACCGCCGATTCTTTTGTATGGCTTTTTAGAAGATTCTTGGAGACAATGTAAAGTAAGGCTCCAAAAACAATTTTTACAGATCAGGATGCTGCAATGGCTAAGGCCATACCTATTGTCATGCCTAACACAACCCACCGCCTTTGCACTTGGAATTTGATGCAAAATGCATTAAGGCATGCAAATTCTATCTTCAAGGATAAGGCGGTGAAGGATAAGGGGATGAAGAGTGTTTTATCCACGTTTATGTACGACATTGAAGATGAGGAACAATTTACGTTAAAATGGGAGGAAATGCTTGACAAGTATGAAGTAAGAGATAATCATTGATTGAAGTTAGCATTTGGGGTCAAGGAAAAATGGGGTTGGCTATATGTTAGAAATGCATGGGGTGCGGGCATGAGTAGGACCCAACTTAGTAAATCCTTTAATGCTTTCTTCAAGGATTTCATTCAGTTTGATCATAACTTAATGCAATTTTTCATGCATTTTGATCGAGTTCTTTCTGAGAAGAGGTACAAAGAGGTACAAACCGAATATGCTCTATGCCAAAAGTTTTCGAGGGTGAATATTAAAGTGAAGATTATGGAGCAAGCTGCAGATGTTTACACAAATAAAATTTTTGAAGAATTTTAGGATGAGTATGTCAAGTCCCTTGAAGTAAACATTGAAGAAATTGAAAATGATGGTGACAATATTGTTTATATGGTTCTTGATAGTGATGGTATAAAGGTGAGGAAGGTGAAGCAGGAGTGTGATGATTCAATCACTTGCAATTATAGGAAGTTTGAAATGAAGGGCATTTTGTGTAGTCATTGTTTGAAGATCCTTAGAGAAAGACTCAAATTCAAAGAGATTCCTTCACAATGTATTCTGAAGAGATGGACTAAAAAAGTAAGATCTGAAAATGTGAAAGATAGGTGTGGGTATAATATTCAGGTTGATGTAAGATTGCATCAAACTTCACGCTATAGGTCATTGATGGCAATATTCAGAGCAGTAGCGTGTAGAGCTTCTGAAAGCGAAGAAACATATAATTTGACGGTAGAGAAATTGGATGAATTAATTGTAAACACTGCAACCATGTTAAGCGCAAAATTCAATATGCCTTGTTCAGATACTATTCAACAAGAAAGCGCCCCTGACACATGCCTCGAAAGCTTTGAAGTGGATAGTGTAGCGGATAAAAATGTAGTTCAAGCAAAAGGACTCAAGAGAAGGGAGTGCATTAGCAAGGGATGAAGGCGGACAAAAGGTGGTTTGGAGCTTGCGTTGGCAAAGAAAAATAAAACAAGTTCACATAATGCTTCTCAAACTTTCATGTCCGTTACTCCTCAAACTCCTCCCTTATTTTCGGCAAGTGCTCCTGAAGCACCTCCCTTATTTCTTTAGTCGGTTCCTTTATTTTCAAGTGCTCCTCAACTTCCTCCATTATCGCCGAGTGTTCCTCAAGTTAGAGCTTCTTCGTCTCAATTTATGTATCCCTCCTATGATGTAAGTTTGTTTAATAAGAAGTTTTAGTAGGGATTTGTAGGTGACTATTATTATTTTAAATTGATATGTGTTTGTTATTCTTGCAACCAAGTTTTCTTCATCACAAAATGCATTTTTCAATGCCATCGATGTATTCCGTCCATGGAACCTATCAAGTATTGCTTAACAATGCAAGTAGTTATCACTCGCAAGCCTCAAATAGTCCCGCATGCAGTGAAGTAATTTATTTTTCACCTTTCCTCTTTTATTTTGTCATTCATTCATTTAAAGTTCCATTTTATTTTATGGTTCATTTGATGTAATATTATTTTAATTTTTTTGTAGGTACTATATGGTCGTGGTCGTGGTTGTGGTCGTGGGCGTGAGCATGGGCACGGGCATGTGGATTAGACGTCAACATCTCATGATAACAAGTCTTATAGCAATCCTATAAAAAATTTCCTTCAACTGAGTAAATATCCTAAAATCACACCACACCCCCTTTTGGTCATACCACTTTTCCTACTTTCACTTTCCTCATATGTACAAAAATCCTACAATAATAATTAGTACAATTTTGAATATACCCATTGTTTTTGTATATTGAATTTCATGAACTTTCTCACTCCATTCATCAATAAGTTTCTTAAAATTCAAAATCTTATGAAACAAATTTGATCAACCAAACTTCTCCTTTATCACACAAGCACTTCCAAACATTAATGAACCCCAATAGGAAATTCATTTGGTTCTATAACATTTCCTACTTTCATCTTCCTCATATGCATATCTATTAATATAAGGTACAACCCTCAATCTTGGTACGGGAGCAGGTTTGGTAAGTGTATATGTATATATAATTATATATACATGTTAAAAATTAATCCTCCACAACACCTACATTTTCGTCACAATGAATCATAGGTGTTAATACATAAACTAAGAATAAGATCATTGACTTACAGGTAATGAGACAAACATAATTTATATAAAAGAATTCATACAAAGTGATATGGCATCTTTACACTCATTCATTGGAAATCAAAGAGCCAATCACTTTGATTCATATTTGAAAATATGCCACTAACACACAACATCCTGTTTCGATTTTCAATACAAAAGTTCTGCATAATTAGCATTTTTCATTAATTTGGTTATTCTCGTTTCTGCTTCTCTTTGTTACTTATTATAGTACAATGTACAAGATAGGGACTCAATCTTCATGGAACACCTAAACGCACTGTTATTACATACCCAACCCAACTAAAGCTAATCAATTTAACAGAAAAAGACCCAATTACTCAACACAAATAAGCAATTAGACAAACCATAAAAAACAAAATTACATTTTAACAGTCAGTTCGGATTGAGTGATTTGGTGAGAAGTGATAAAAAATAAAGTAAATCTCTTCTCATGTTTGGTTTATAAGTCAGTGAGAAATGGTCAGAAACGATGAAAAATCGTAAGAAAGAGAACTTTCTTGTCTTATAAGCTCATCAAAAGTGGTGAGAAACAAACTAATTGAATGTATATTTTTCATAATACCAAGATTAAAATATAAAATAAATTCCCTTCTCTTGTATTTTCCATAACATACACAGGTCGCTGAATTTAAATTACAGGTATAAAGGCACACTTAAATCAAAAAATTGAGAAGTTATATACAGGTATAAAGGCAAATCGCAGGTATAAATTGAGAAGTCATTTAAATTTCAATTTTTCAACATACACAGTGTGCAGAATGTGAACACAGAGTTCATTCTTGAACTTGGCATAAAGGCAAATCCCAAACCCTAACATATCACAAATTAAAGCCAAATCCCAAACCCTAACACAAATAGCAAACAAAATCCAACCCCAAACACTCCCAATCGACTAATTTCTACAAAAATTGAAGCCAAACCTAAACCCTAACTTTGCGATTTCAGGTTTACCTCTGTCGCAGGCTCCCGTTCGTCCTCCGTCGTGGTTCAACGTCCTCCGCCCTCCGTCGTGGTTCGTCTGCCTCTGTCGTCGTTCGTCCACCGTCTCGTTGTCCTTCGTCCCCCGTCTCCTCGTCCTTCGAACTCCTTTGAACTCCTTCGAGCTCTCGTCGTCTGTATAGTTCTTTATATGGGGGGAATTTTGAAATCCCCGAATTTGATTTTTTTTTTGATAATACTCACCAAAACGACGTCATTTTGGTGAGTTTTATTCTCAGCCGTCGGATTAGGCACTTTAGGAGATCACTCTAGAGGATTAACTCTAGAGGATCCTTACGCCCCCCACTAGGGGTCTCATGCATTTTTCAAAATAAAAATAACTAGTTTGCTGGTAATGCTCTGATTGGAAATAAATAATTCAATTTGTCTTTAGCAAAGATTAATCCCCTAATATCTCAATTGAGTGTGTATAAGAGTGAAAAACTGAGGTGACCCAATTTGTTGTTCCTCCCTCAACTTAAATACAACAAGAAAAGATTAAAGTCTCCTTTGGTAAAAGTTATAGGGTGCTTATGGCTATTTTTAATTTGGAGGTATATGCCAATTTATTAGAATATTTAGTGTAATTTTTATTTCCAACGTATGAGATAAAAATGACTAAGTTAAAAAATGTTGATTATTGTCAAACTAGGAAAAAATGCTTTTATTTTTTGTATTTAAGTGATAGTTTGGGAAGTGCTAAATAAGTATACTCTTTTACTTCTTACAAAAATAAGTATAGAAAAGTAGAAATGTGATGTAATTAAAAAAAAAATTAAATATACTTTTTACTTTTTGCTAAAAGATATGTAGAAAAATAGAGATGTAATGTGATTTAAAAAAAATAAAAAAATAAAAAAAATGAACTAATATGACACTTCCCAAACAACCCAAATTGTACCAAATGGCATCGTATAATAATTGTTTTAACGACCAAAGTAGAATTACACTTTTGTGATGAAGTGACAAAGCATAAGCTAGTAGCTCGAATTTAAGTTTGAGAAAAACTACATTATGCATATTATGTGGAAGGTTACATCTATATACAATCTACCCTCCCGGACACTCCATCATCGGGGACCAGCAATAATGAATGGACCCAATGAAGCAACTATCGTATTGGGACCTTTGAACAACATTTCAAATTGAATTGCCCCAAGTTTGAACAGAGTGTCAAGGCCCTTCATGTTTCTTCTTCCTAGTACACACATCTAATTCAGTAGACTGTAAATTCATAGTCAAAACTCTTCAAGAACACACCATGGCCCATTTTCTCATGACTTGTTATGGCATGCAAAAACCCTTCTAAATAAGCAGGCCTAGCTTTATACACAACGGGTACCCTATCCTTATCCAAAAAGTTGCTTTCCTTTGAACATGTTGCTCATGGACAAGCAATTGGGACCCTATCATGCCAAGACCAAGTAATGTGGTCTCTCAAGCCACTTTCAAGACAACCTCAATGCAGTGTAAAGTCCCTTCAGGTTCATGGATGTGTTCAAATCCTAGCTGTGCTGCACTCTCATATGCCTATTATGCAACCAATCAACTACGTTTTCAATGACATTGACAAAACACAACTATGTCCCGCCTCATTTTCAAGTTATCTGTACTCGAGTTGTGTCCAGATTATACAATCTACTGATAGAAAATAGAGCAACCAGTGAATCATCATTGAGAATAAAGCACAGAACAAAAGGATATTAGATGACTGTCTCAAAGATTTACAACATAATTGGTGTTTGAAATTTGCTTACACTTCAAGCCTTGATGCTACATTTAAGATCAACAAAACCACATAGACAGGCTGTTTTTTTTCAAATCTCTTCCAAGAAGGCAAATGGACTGACATGACAATCAATCCATATCAAAAAGCATATCAGCATCTGTTAAACAAACAGTAATTACGATATGAGGAAGAGTATTTTAGCTTTACTAGGACAATTTACCGAACCTAGTCTTCACAAAAAACAGTTAACGATGATGTTTCACCGTGCCTAATCAATTACCCCAAGCAAGAAAACTGTCCTGTGATCCAAATTCCTATAAAAGTACATAAGAAGTTCATCAGTCAACGAAATTCAAAAGCAATAAACCAATAATTTCAAAGTAAAGGAAGCAACATAGCAGAGAAGACGACAGAACATACAAGTTGGCTAAGCCGGAAATCAGGAGGTGTATCGAGATCTATGTTTGCTGGATCAAGGACCAAATCTTGGCACACCTCTAAATCCTTCTTTAAATCCTCGGGTCCTAAGTGAGCATAATCGGAAAGGCGGGACTTGCCCTTCGATTCTCCATTTTCAGACCCATCTCTATTTGGGGATTGGCTCCGGAGAAACTCATCACACAAAGATAGCCCTTCCACAAGTTGTTGTGAATCTAACAGATACTGTGACTCACCGTCCCACCATTTTGGGTCTTCCCCAGTTTGATTATCAATATTAACTGGCATTTGATCAGTATGAATTTCTGTCACTAGTGAGCCTTGATGATTGGGTTCTCCACATGGAGTTTGCACAAAATGGTCTTCCCCAGTTTGATTATCGTTATTATCAGGCATTTGATCAGTATGAATTTCTGTCACTAGTGAGCCTTGATGATTGGGTTCTCCACATGGAGTTTGCACATCATCTTCAACAAGCCCTATCTCATGATGCTGAAGATTACAAGGATGACGGGGGCAAAACACATGTATTAGTTTCCTTTTGTGCATGGGGGCTAAAGTAAAATGCATAAGAAACTTTCTTATTTTGATCACTAGAAAAGAAAACATATTCTCTGCAACATGTGCTACATTCTATTTCTCCCAATGTACCGGTGTCCACTACAAGGGTAAGAATGTGGGGTATGTATTCGATATCCGTTTTTAATTTAGACACTTAGATCCTCCAATGTTTTACAATGTTTGAAGAAGAAGAAATTCACTTTTGCTAATAAAGAAACATTTTTAGCGGCTCACATAGATGAGAAGAGAAATTTCATATTTTTGCTAAATCCTATTTAATTTCAATTCCATTTACAGAATTTGGTGGTCTTATTTTAAATAGTATACAATATGCAATATATATACAAGTGTCCAGGACGTATCATTACACCCATATCCAACTTTTGGATATATATCCAAATATCATAAAACTCAGGTTTATGAAGATCTACTGCTTGGATATGTACCCACATCTAATACTCATATCTAAGTCCATGTAACATAGTCAGCAACTACCTTATTCATTTGAAATTCTAGAAGGTAATCGGTGACTGTCACATCAAAATTCTCAAGCAAACACCCTTGCATTACCTAGTGACCTTAAACAATTCCAAATTATGGTGTAATGGTAACCTTCGATAATTTGATTGGCAACAGAAAAATTTACCAAAGGGAAGGGAAAAAAAAATTAACTGCACAGTGCAGCTCTGTTGGGAACTGATTTTATAATCTGATATTACATATTTTCAATACAAAATGAAAAGAAAAATGAATAGTCAGGATGCCAGACAAAAGTTTGTTTACCTGAGGAGAAGGATCTGGGTCAAAATTAGAAAATCGCCATTCAATACGAGGTGGTTCAGGAGTCACGGACTTTGGAGTGACTGGATCAACTTTTACAATCATGAAATCAATGCCCTCAGGCAAATCTTGTTCAAATTTGTCTGTCTGCTTGACTTGTTGCTGATAAAACACCTTGGAGATAACATACTCTCCCTCCTTTTCATCTTCTCCGGTGCCCAAGTGATACTGATGCATCACCCAATTGGTTTTCTCTGGTTTCCCACCCCTTGGTGGGCCCATATAAAGAACCATAATTTTCTTACATCCTTTTTGAACGCCATCCAAGTTAACAGGTTTGGTCCGGCCAGTCTTATGCCAACGAACATCACCAAAATCATCACCATGTATCTTCCGACGCTTCCGAGTTCCGGTACTATAAGCCTTGATTGCTCTATGAAAGAAGTGAGAAACACTTCCATCTTGCTTAACACCTAAAACTTGTATATTTAGAACTCATTTTTGTCTGGAGATAACTAAGGATCAAAGCAAAAAAGACTAAGGCTCCGTTTGGATGGATGTGGATTTCAAATCAAGGGATTTGAGATTAAAAATATTGAAGAGTTAGCTATTATAGGTGGAGAGAAAAACTATAGAAGAAGATAGGTGGAGATAAAATAGATGTATTTTAGTAGGAGGCTTATAGCTAGAAGAGAATTCTTAACATGATTTCAAATACCTACTTTTATACAGTTAAGTCAAATTCATCATGATAAAACTATTTAATTCAATCTTGAAATTCATAGGGTAAACTATCAAATCTAAATTTGAGTTATAATTAATGTTAAATCCATGCACTTCACATCCACATCCATCCAAATAGACCATAAGCTATGTTCTTGTACTCACCTGGCAAATTCTGAGGATGTGTATAACAAATTCCATCATCTTCATTAACAGTTGGAATGAACTCCTCAATGAAAGGATGTGGTTTCATATTGCCAACACTGACTTTTGCAAGTAAATGCCATATAATCTCTGGATCAGATGGATCAAATTTCACACCTCTAGGTAAGCCTGGCCACTCTTGAGTCACCTGAAAATAAACAGAGAGGTTCCAAATGCAAGTTTTTATTGGTACTACAGCTTTTGTTTTAATAACAAAAATCAAGCCCCAGGCACAGTTTTTAACATAAAGATAACACATGTATATAACCAGAATATAACTTCTTGAAACTCAGTGAAATGGTTGAGATGTCCACAAGAAATAAGTCGCAAGTCACAACATCAAACAAACATAAACCGTAAACCCGTCGAAATTAAATCAGATGCACAGAAAATATATATATATATAGCTGAGAAAATAATGAGCATGAACTCAAATATACTTTTCATCAGCTTGCACTGTTTTAGGTTGACAGATTATTTGCATGACACTCCCTCCATCCTAATTTGTTGGTCCATTATAGAAAAACCAACTTATTAAGAAGACATGCAACCATTATATTTTAATTCAAATTTTAAAATGTTTTTCCCACCATTGCCCTTCTTGAATTTTAAAATGTGTTTATAATAATTTATAGAGGGCAATTTTGGAAATTTAACAAAATTTAGTATCCTAAATTAAAAAATCGACAAGCATTTTGAGACAGACTATAATGGAAAGGTGTACAAACAAAATGGTACAGAGGGAGTAAAAATCCAAACTCAAGAGAAACGTATTTTACTTGTTCACATTAGATCCAATGTCTGAACATAAACCACAAACAGGGCAAGTTTTCATATCAGGTCAATTTAACAAAGCATCAAACCATGGCATCAGCCACAAAACAATCCGATCCAAGGTCCTTTTTGTACTCATCAGCACATGGAAGGACAAAGAAAACCCAGACCCCTGTGAATCAAAAATTGTTTCTATTCAAATAGCATTTACTAAATTTATTAATTTAATTTGAATCAGAGCAAGGGTGATAATCTTTCCATAAGATTCAAATACTTCACTTGTCATAAAATATTTAAAAGATGTCAAATTAACCCCATAGAAATAGCTGGTTATCCAGGCCTTATAATCATGCCAATCTATGAAGTGCTGACACTTCAAAACAAGTGCCGTAGGGGTTGGACATAGGGACACGCATGGGACACGCCACATGTTTAATTAATTAATTTTTAGGGAACATGGCGGGCACACACTGGGAACACTCTGGGGACACGCCAACTAGTTTTTTCTCCATTTTCTTTAGTGCTTTTGATGGATGTTAAATGTTGAATGTTTATTATTTTTTGTTTAGATATAAACATTTAATAGATCATTCATAAAAATATAGAAGTGATGTCTTTATTTGAAAGTGGTCTTTTTTTTAAATATCGAACCAATGTTAGTTTTTATTAATTTCCATATATATTTTATTGTCATGTCTCCCCCATGTCCAAGTTCTCATTTTTTTAAAATCACTGAGTTCGCGTTCATGCTTCTTAGATGCCAATTCTGAACATCCAGTAACCTGTAACTTTAAGAAATTGAGTAACTATTACCAATTACTAAATATATTTTCAATTTCATTCATTCCTAATTCATCCTGCTTCGGATTTGTGTAAGGCATTTCTCTCATGCAAGGTCTCACCAATTGTTTGTACATTTTACAATTCACAATTTGTGTGTTATCTTATTTAATGCGTTTGAAATTTCCATAGTCAAAAGCTTAGGTGTATAGGTTAGTGTGCCCAAGTGTTAAAGATTGAAGGCTACCAGATAATGCGAAGCATCCTCCTATCCTACCTCAGGTGTACAACTGTACAAGCATATTGCGTTAATCAAGAACATCTATTTTACATGTCACATAATTGACTTAGGATGACCTATACATAGTCCTCTCAGGTTATTGGCTCAAAACAGAACTAATTAGGCAAGGCCAGAGTGGCCAGATCAAAGGCCTCTCGTAGAATGCTTGCATAGGTAGCTTATGGACTTGACTGCTGAAGTCGAGAGACTAGCATTCAAGCCAAGTGCTGCAGGTTCAGTAAAATGCAGTCCAGAAAAGTATATATGCAGATTTGGTTTTGGGAAAACTACATATGGAGCAGCTCTCTTTTGGTTCTAAATACGCATAGATATCATTTAAGCTGCGCTATCTTCTTTGGATCCTTTTTTTTTTTTTTTTAATTTTTGTACAAAGATAACATTAGTATGTTAGTATAGTTAGATTACAACTAAAGGGGTCCACTGCCGCTCCATTAGCTCAAACCTCTGACCTCTCCCTCACTATACCCTAAGGTGTGGCTACTAGACTATTGGGCCAAACCCCAATGTCTCTTCTCTGGATCCCTTGAACACCTACAACATTGACTTATATGCATCCAGAGAAAAGGTATATTTGTATGAACATTGAATTGTAAAAACCTTCTTTAATTTTTACAAAACCATGTACTTCATAAAACACCTAGATCACTCTTAGTGAATTGATAGCCAATAAAGATGCAATGTAAGGCTGATACAGATAATCAAAATCTAACCAAAATTGACTCAATAGAAGCAAAATGTAAGACTGGTCATGATAATCAAAAGCTAACCAAAATTGATTGGACAATCCAGAGAAGCAATCCTGTGGCCCTCTCTTCATTCAATAATTTAGATTTATAAATTTATGGCAGTTATAATCACTACATAGAAAGTTAGAATTATAAAAATGATAGAGAATAAAAAAGTACCAAAGCATATAAGAAAGCAATCATTTCATCAAATATCTTAACCTAATAACAAAAAGTTAATCAGATCAAAGGAGACGATTTGTACATCACTATTGTCAATAATATGTTCGCAATTAGGGCAAGCTCTAGTTGGGTTGCTTTTCCAGTTGACTCTTCCAGGATCACACAAACCAGATGCACTTCTGATTTTTGTTGCAATTCTACTGCTGTCAACCAACCATGACGGTCTGCATAATTTAACAAAAGAAGACAATTACGCTCATAATTTGATCTTAACTTAACTATAATATAAATGATGAGGGTAAACATTTATTGTCTACAAAACAATTTCAACATTGGATTCTTTAATCTGACCTACATATGCCAGGATGTAGAAATTTAATGTATAAAGAGAAATAGAGAATTGTATTATTGATTGATTTATATTGATATCTATTACAATGATTCATGATTCCTATATATAGAAGAGGGTGAGTGTGTAGTAGGTAAGGAGTAGGTGAAGTGGAGGTGGTAGTGGTGTAGTGGGTTAGGTTTAGTGGAGTAGGTGAGGTGGTAGTGGTGTAGTGGGTTAGGTTTAGTGGAGTAGGTTTAAGTGGGTGAAGTAGGTAGAGAGTAGGTGGATTTTAACACAGGAGCATATAGATAACTGGGGGAAAACATCAATTGCATTACTAAGACTGCAACAATGAAAGAGTTGAGGCCTTAAACATGTTAGAAAATTCAAACCCCTAATATTATCACTTTTTTTGTTGTTCTCTTAGAAGTACAAGATGGTGAGGATGCAAGACCATTGATGATTCCTATTTGATTAAGCAGTAACAATAGTTATGTCCAATTTTATTTATTTATTTATTTATTTTTAAAAAAATTATCATTTAACAAAAATGGTTGTCGAAGAGTTTTAAAGGTTTAAATTGTAATATGATTATGTTTTTCTCTTGAAACAAAAACTTGATCATAATAGCAAGGATAAGGAAAGGGAAAAAAAAAAATCATGGACAATGTTTTCATCAAATTCTATGTATAATTATATAATATAATTATCAATGCCAACATTTGCTGTTGATTTGACATTGTAGATGTAGAAAAAATTATATGACATTAACTAACATTATTTGCTAACCATCGATTGCAAGCTTGCCTAGTGAAAAACAAATTCAAATTAAACCTTGACTCGTTGTTACATGAATGTAAGTTCATGTAACAACACTTGACACTTGGGTGAGGTGAGGATATGATAAATGCATCTGAAATCAAAAAGGCCTTCATGATATCAAACAGAATTGTTTAAACTGTGAAAAAAGTTATTAACAATTATATTTTTTCTTTTATTTACATCTTTTTCTCACAAAAATATTATCAGCCCCCACCCTGCGGCACATGAGTGCACACTCCTAGCTTCCACCTCATGCAGATATAAGCTGTGATTTTCAGTATACATTCTCATTAGGCAATTTGCAGTTTGCACTTGAACCAAACGTAGTTTCAGCTATTAATACCCATTCAACAATGAAATGCACTATTATATGCCAAGCACTTGGCAGAGCACTTAATTCAAATGCTTGCATATATCAAATTTGAAAGAGAAATTGGAGGGACATGTTTGAGGTTAATCCTTCTGAATAGGAAAGTACCATTACAAACGAAAGACAAATTATTTACTTCAAAGCAACAGACACGCTATCGAGGCACATTATTAAACAGCCTCCTGCAGGTCAAAGAAAACATACCTAAAATTGTCCGAAATTTTAACATATTAACAATTTAACAATAAAGCCAAAGCATCCCTAACCCATTATGCCCAAAATGAATGAACCTAGCCATCGAATTCAACACCATAAGAACATGGCCACTGGATATAGTGATGATCATGTGTCCAATATACTGACCTAAATATATATATACACATATTTATGATTGAATGTATATAGTGTATCAATCAAATATCAATGTGGGAAAAGTGGGTACTTGAATATACCATTCCATATGCAAAAACCTCAACAACCAAAACTGTTGGAGTGTGATTCAAACCCACAATCAATCTAATCTACCATTTCAAACAAGAAAATCAACAGCTCATTTGGGGTCACAAAACCTAACAACAACCCACATACAGAGAGACTCCTACTTCCTTATACACTACCACAAGACCAAACCAGGTAAGAAGTGAGTTCAGAGGTTCAACTCAGTACTGAGTGAGAATGCAATCTATCAGTATCTTTATATACAGATTAAACTAAAGAGAAGAACAAACTGAGTGTTTTAAAAAAACACCCAAGTACAGAAGGGAAATGCATACCCAGCCATGATAGAGTGATGCGATCAAAGGATCAAAACCATGTATTGTCTGTTCTCCCTCAGTTCTTTACTTTTTGTTGGGTTTGTTCCGATGAGACGAACTTTCCCTTCGATTTCCCAATTTTATATATTACTCTCATGACTGATTTTGAATTTTGAAACCGTGTACACGATAATGACTAAAAAAAAGGTGAAATTAAAAATAAAAAATAAAAATTTTGATCCTGTTAATATAAATCTTAAATTTTTAATTTTATTAATTTAAATTATAATTTTATTTATTTATTTTTAATTTAAATTATGCGCTTATCTATATATTATACTATCATATTACAGGTACTATGTTTGTGATTGAATTTAAAAAAATTATTTATGATTATGTCAAACATATTTTAAAATTGTTAGTATAAAATCTATGAAATTTTAAAAGAAAATGTTGACTTTTCATAATTAAAGTAATAAAAATAAAAATTTATTATATTGGTTCGAAGTTCACGAAATAAAAAAATATATATTATAACTAAAATTTAAATTGTTATAGATTTTCTATTGGCAACATAATATTATATAATAATTAGTATTCATGTATTACCAACATAATAGTTAGTATTATAATTAATGAACAACACATATATTATATATTTTTTTACCTTTTAAATGGTATAAAAAAATTTCAGACCAATTTATATTTAAAATAAAGGTCACACACGGTGCACAATCTAGTTGACATATCATTGTTGGTACAGGTATAATAAATGCATAGGCACGGTCTTGACTTAACCCAATATAATCTTTAATCATTCTAAAGTTTTTGGAATTATAACATTGTGTTTGAAAAGGTAGAAATAAATTATTTATAATAAATTCTATAATTCCTTACTATTGATCTCATATTATTCAAATACAATAGTTGACATCGCAAGATAAATTCTACACATTTATCTTGAATTGTGAGACACAATCATTTTTTTTTCTTCCAAAAAACACAGTGAGTTAAAAACCTAATTACAAATTAAGTCAATTGATAGTTAAAAAATACAATCATTCCCAATTACAAATTAAGTCAGTTGATAGTTAAAAAACATAAAAAAAAATTCAAAAAATACAGTGAATTAAAAAATTCAATTACAGAATTTTTTTACTAGATAAAATACAATCTAATTATCATAAATAGTGGGTACTTTATGTGAACCTAATAAATACAATCCCCCCCTTTTTTTTCCAAAAAACACAAATATTGTCACAGCCAAACAATTTTTTTTTCTCATCATGTGATTGAAAATGGAGTGTAAAAAAACACAATTAATTAAAAATAAATCATCGTGTGATCAAAACAGAGTGTAAAAAAACATAATCACATTTTTGCTCATAATAAAAAGAAGGGTAAATTACACTTACACCTCTCTAGATTTGTGTTTAATACATATCACCCCCCTAACGTTTAGGAAATTACACTGACTCCCCTGTCATTGTAATTATTTAGACGGAATTAACGTTGGTATTAAAAAGATATTGAATTCATACACACTCTTTTCTTGCTTTGCTTTTCTTTTCTTTTTCTGTTATTTTTTTTTTCCCTTTTCTTTCCTTTGCTTTACTTTCTTTTTTTTTTTCAATGTAATTTCCTCTATTTTTCTATGAGGAGTTGTTGTCTTTTATATAAGTAGGGAGTTTGTAAAATAAGACTATTAACCACAGTAGTGAGATTCTAATTTCTATAACGTCAGGGATGAAATGTAATCGGACCAAACCTTAGGAAAGGTATCAGTATAATTTACTCTTAAAAAAAAAAAACAGTGAAGTCAGTTGATAATTAAAACACACAATCATTTAAAAAAAAAAACACACGATGAGTTAAAAATCGAATCACAAATTAATTACAAAATTTTTTAATTGATATTTAAAAAACACGATAGTTTTTTTTTTTAAAAAAATACAGTGAGTTAAAAAATTCAATTATAATATTTTTTTCTCACTATATAATTAAAATGGAGTGTAAAAAAAACACAATCAATTTAAAAATACAATCACCGCATCATCAAAACGAAATATAAAAAAACACAATCATATTTTTTTTCATAATAAAATAAATAAATGATAAAAAAAAAGAATCATTAAAAAAGAAAAATACTTCGGACCCCACTGGGAGTCGACCCCCAATGAGGTGGCGCACCGTGATTGGACAAAAAAAAAACTGTTTTATTTATTTATTTATTTTTTGAGTTTCAGTAAGTGGGAGCTCGCCACCTCACTGGAGATGCGACCCCAACTAGGGATCTGCAGCAGCTCACATTAAAAAATGACTGAAAAGATTACTTATAGGTTTTGAATTGAAGATTGAATTGAAGCGAAAATTATGACTTTAGAGGTGTCAGCCTTTTTTCCCTAGATTCCCTCCAATTCACTCTCTAAAACTTTATCTCTATCTTGGTTTGTCCTTACCATAGTTTGTCTTTCGAGTAGAAAAAATAATTGAATTTTAACTCATAATAAAAAGAAGAGTAATAAAGTTAATTGATAGTTAAAAAACACAATAAATACAATTATAATATTTTTTTTCCCCAAAAAATACAGAAATTGTTACATTTCTAACAAATTTTTTTTTCTCATCATGTGATCAAAATGGAGTGTAAAAAGCATAATCAGTTAAAAAATAAATTGCCGTGTAATAAAAAAACAGAGTGTAAAAAACAATCACATTTTTGCTCATAATAAATAAAAAAAGCAATGAAGTCAATTGGTAGTTAAAAAACAAAATCATTCAATCATTTTTTTCCCCCAAAACCACAGTGAATTAAAAACCCAATTATAAATTAAGTCAATTGATAGTTAAAAAACACAATCATTTTTTTTTCAAAAAATACGGTGAGTTAAAAATCAAATTATAAACTTTTTTTAATAGACAAAATACAATCTAATCATTATGTGATAAAAAACACAGAGATTATCACAACTCAAACAAATTTTTTTTTTCTCATCAGTGAGTTACAAATTTTTTTAATTCATATTTAAAAAACACAATCATTTTTTTTTTCCAAAAAACACACTGAGTTAAAAATTGAATCAGTTTAAAAATACAATCACCGTATATTTAAAAAACACAATTATTTTTTTCAAAAACACAGTGAGTTAAAATATCCAATCAATTTAAAAAATCACAATCACATTTTTACTCATAATAAAAAAAATAAACGAAAAAAGAAACCATTAAAAAAAATAAAAAAAATTACTTACAAGTTTTTCTTTCTTTGGACTATGAAGGTGTCAGCCTTCTTCTCCAGATTTTGTCCAACTCTCTCTATACTTTTCCCCAAATTTTGTTAATCACATTTTTTCCCATTAAACTCTCTCCATCTTTCGATCAAAAAAAACTCTCTCCCTCTTTCTCTAAAGAGTTATTTATTTTATTTGAAGTTATATGTAATACATGGGGGATGGTGGAAGGAGTTGAATAGGCTGCGCAGTAGGTAGGGGAAGTCAAAAAGGTTGTGACAGTAAAAAACAGTGAAGTCAGTTGATAATTAAAACACACAATCATTTAAAAAAAAAAAAAACACACGATGAGTTAAAAATCGAATCACAAATTAATTACAAAATTTTTTAATTGATATTTAAAAAACACGATATTTTTTTTTTTAAAAAAAATACAGTGAGTTAAAAAATTCAATTATAATATTTTTTTCTCACCATATAATTAAAATGGAGTGTAAAAAAAACACAATCAATTTAAAAATACAATCACCACATCATCAAAACGAAGTATAAAAAAACACAATCATATTTTTTTTCATAATAAAATAAATAAATGATAAAAAAAAAGAATCATTAAAAAAGAAAAATGTTTCGAACCTCCACTGGGAGTCGACCCCCAATGAGGTGGCGCACCGTGATTGGACAAAAAAAAAACTATTTTATTTATTTATTTTTTTTTTTTAAGTTTCAGTCAGTGAGGGCACGCTACCTCACTGGGAATGTGACCCCACTAGGGCTCTGCAGCTCTCATTAAAAAATGACTGAAAAGATTACTTATAGGTTTTGAATTGAAGATTGTATTGAAGCGAAAATTATGACTTTAGAGGTGTCAGCCTTTTTTCCCTAGATTCTCTCCAATTCACTCTCTAAAACTTTATCCCTATCTTGGTTTGTCCTTACCATAGTTTGTCTTTCGAGTAGAAAAAATAATTGAATTTTAGCTCATAATAAAAAGAAGAGTAATGAAGTTAATTGATAGTTAAAAAACACAATGAATACAATCATAATATTTTATTTTCCCCAAAAAATACAGAAATTGTTACATTCCTAACAAATTTTTTTTTCTCATCATGTGATCAAAATGGAGTGTAAAAAGCATAATCAGTTAAAAAATAAATTGCCGTGTTATAAAAAAACAGAGTGTAAAAAACAATCACATTTTTGCTCATAATAAATAAAAAAAGCAATGAAGTCAATTGGTAGTTAAAAAACAAAATCATTCAATCATTTTTCCCCCCCAAAACCACAGTGAATTAAAAACCCAATTATAAATTAAGTCAATTGATAGTTAAAAAACACAATCAATTTTTTTTTTCAAAAAACACAATGAGTTAAAAAACCAAATTATATATATATATATATATATATATATATTTTCTAGACAAAATACAATCTAATTATCATCAATAGTGGGTACTTTATGTGAACCTAATGAATACAATCAAATTATTTTTTCAAAAAACACAGAAATTGTCACAACCGAAATAAATAAAATCATTGTGTGATCAAAACGTGTAAAAAAACACAATCGCATTTTTTCTTTTAATAAGAAGAAAAACAATGAAGTCAGTTGATAGTTAAAAAATACAATCACAAATACAGTGAGTTCAAAACCCAAGTTAGTTGATAGCTAAAAAACACAATCTCAAATACAGTGAGTTAAAAATACAATGAATTAAAAATCTAATCACAAATTAATCACAAATTTTCTAATTGATATTTAAAAAACACAACTAGTTTAAAAATACAATCACTGTGTCATCAAAATGGAGTGTAAAAAACTATAATCACATTTTTGTTTATAATAAAATATAAAATAAAAAAGAACAATTGAAAAATGAATGAGAAGATTACTTATATGATTTGAGGATTGCGTTGAAGTGAAAATTGTGACCGTGGAGATTTCA